AATAACAATACAGTTGAATCTAATCTTGAGCAGGAACAAATGTATTTACTTAGTACATATCTGACATTAACGATTAAACACATGTGTGCATTCTTTATAAATGCAAACCGAGTCAAGCCGACTCCGGAGGTGGCGGTATGCACCTTCAAGCTGTTTGCAATCCGCCAAAAAACCGAGAGAAGAAGAAGAAGACGAAGCCGACTCCGAGCATGGACTCGGAGCTGTCCGACTTCAGGCGAGCTTTTTGAGACCTCCCCCGGCTGCGATCGGCTATTCTCGTCTACTTTCGAGGCGAGCCGCAACGCGTCTCAAACAAGCCTATTGTAACGGCCCGTCATGAAAAAAATCTTGATGCTGGGCGTGTCTGAAGCTTGGCGATTTTTTGCGAGCAACGCGACCAACAACCAATCACATGAATCTCCTGCCCCCGACATACAAAGCAATAGCAATGTTAAAACGAAGTGAACTGGATATAAAATCCCCAAACAGGCGAAAACCTACCAGTTTCACCCACTATCTCTGCCACCTCCCTCCATGCCTGGTTCCTCCGGTTTGTATCCCGGTAAATATTTCTGGTCGTAAAGAACCGGGTGATTTGCTACCGTAATTTCTCGTGTGGAATATGAGAAAATGAACTGCGGTCTAGCTCTCCCAGCTTGCACGCGGTTTGATTGGCTAGCGCTTGTACTGGCGGGATTTGCATAAACGGGATTTGGGAGCATCAAAAGTTGAACATTGCTCAACTTTTGATGCTCACGATGCTTGCAAAGCCATGCTCCGCTCCCCACAATGCAGTTCGGCGAAGATTCAAAATCTCTACGTCACCCCATTCAAGTGAATGGGCGAAGCTTTGAAAGATTTTTTTCATGCCTGTGTGTGGACGGGCCGTAAGTTGATTTGGATGAGACCATCAGCTAAATGAAATGTTATATCGATTGCGTTGTTGTTGTCTCTGCAGTCTATGAGTTTATCTTCAGAATGAAACAGAAGACAAGAGAGAGAGACTGGTGTCAAAAAGTCAACACGGTTACGCACAGATGCTAATTAGACGGGTAAACGCATCCTGTGCTTCCTCTGCTCCGACCCTCTAATGCAATATTATCTCTAATACCAATTACATTCACTGTGTGTGTGTGTGTGTGTGTGTGTGTGTGTGTGTGTGTGTGTGTGTGTGTGTGTGTGTGTGTGTGTGTGTGTGTGTGTGTGTGTGTGTGTGTGTGTGTGTGTGTGTGTGTGTGTGTGTGTGTGTGTGTGTGTGTGTGTGTGTGTGTGTGTGTGTGTGTGTGCAGGATGGGCGTCATCTTCCATAATGAGATTGAATGACTCTCTGTGACTTGAGAGCATTATCACAGCTGAGAGATGTGTCGTGATCACATGCCTGGATAAAAAGTTACTCAAGCTGCTGATTTGGGATCAGGTCTGTCACGACACTTAGTCTGCAACAAGTTCCTCTTGGTTACAGATGGAGAGTTTAATATACAAACACACACACACGAGCACTGTAACCTCAACCCAAGGAAACACACACACACACACACACACACACACACACACACACACACACACACACACTGCACCTATTATCCTTTTCCTCCAGCTGTATCACAGCACTGTGTCACTGCCCATCCTGCTGTCAACTCCCACCCAACCAGGTTAAGCCTGGAGAAGATTGTGTGTGTGTGTGTGTGTGTGTGTGTGTGTGTGTGTGTGTGTGTGTGTGTGTGTGTGTGTGTGTGTGTGTGTGTGTGTGTGTTTCTGCAGGGAAACATGCATGTTCCCTTGTTTCTTAGAAAGCCTAATCCTGACCTCTTACATCCTTGCATGCATTGCTTTTGTGCACAAACGTCTGTGCATGCTTGTATGCGCTCCTACCTGTGTGTATGCATGTTTGTGTGTGTGTGTGTTTGTGTGTGTGTGTGTTTGTGTGTGTCTCTGAATAGGTTCCAATATGCAAAAGAGAGAAGATTAACATAACAATATCCAAATCCCTCTCTGTCCTTGGAACAGCAGACCAAAAGGGTACAGGGAGCGCTCGCTACATGTGTGTTTCTGATTGTGTGTGTGTGTGTGAATAGCTATGTGTGTGTGTATAACAATATTTGCCTAAATCTCTAAGTGTGTTGAAAAAACAAGGCATTCCAGGCATTTAAATGAAACCACCATGTATTCTCTCTATAATAAAAATAAGTAAAGTAGATCTAATGTTCTAATGATCTAATGTACGGAGCCCCCCTGGTGACATTGGTGGGAAAAATATTAATACGTGTTATTGCGTAATAATTATTGTGTTCCCACGAATTACTAATGCATGGGAACATAATAATAACTAATTTGTGGCCATGCATTATTAATTTGTGGCCACATATTAATATTTTTCTCACCAATGTCACCAGGGTGGCTCCGTAGTTTTCCTATAAGGTGTTACATTTGTCATGTTTAAGCACTGTCTGAATTTTCATGCAGCAACGGAAATGTCTAAACAAAACAGTATTGTAAATGTGGTGATATATATCCAAATGTATCATTACCCCTCTTCTGTATATTCAAAACAGAATACAGCACGTGTCTGCATCCATATCTGCATGGTGTGAGTGATGGGAAAAGTGTGTGGGTGTGTTGGGAAGTTAATCTGAACGCAGTGCGGCGAGGCGTGAAGTGGAGCAGGCTCGTCGATATGCTCCAGTATCATGTTGTCATGCGGTGTTTCCACTTTGTATTCCCTGCTATCAGTCTAGACCAGAGCTGAAGGCCGGCTTATCAACACTCCTCTGATATGACAGCAAGGCCTTCTTCCATCTCTGAGGGAACGAGGTGAGACTCCCAAAGCAGAGACATTATATAATAACTTGACTTTATTCCAGGCAGGAGGAAAAAGAGCTCCATATTTGCCACTAGCTGACACATCCTCAAGGACATGTGTTTCAAACATAATACATGTAGGACACCAGGACTTCACCAAAGTGTCATTCAAGTTTACTTTAGTAGACAAACCACTTCCTTGCTTTGACCGTCAAGATGGATCCATGCCTGCCCAGAATGTCATCTCTTTAAAACATGTGAGAAATTGTCATAATTATCAAAATGATTCTAGAGTTATAGCAAAAAATAAGTGTTTTGTGGGCTCAGTGACCTTTAACCACCAAAGTCTGAACAATGTATCCGAGAGTCCAAGTTCACGTTTGTGACAAATTGGAAGAAATTCACTTTCAAAAGATTCAAAGGATTGAAAAGCTTTATTGTCATCTACAATAGCTACAGAGTAGTTGTTTACATGTAAAGTCCCAGGCTCCTCCAACAATGCAACACAGAATAAACTCAAGACGTAACAAGAAAAAAGGACACAATGGTGCGAGTACAAATAATGAGGTGTTCCTGAGGTGTTGCTTTCACTAGAAAAGAGAAAGGGGTATACAACATGAACTTTTGACGCCTCAAGGCCTCGACTTCACTCGATGAAAAACTTCAAACATCTTAAACACAATGCACCATCACTCAAATGTTTCCCTAGCTGAATAACCTATTGTCGCTGCTGTCATTTCTCAAAGGCTTGTCAACCCCACGCTTGAATTGTACAGATGTTACGTCAGACTCCAGAGTCCGAGGAGAATAATAAAAGTGACCCGGTGTTACTCTGCAGCCTGCATCGCAAGCACTGAACTCTCTCCGTCAAAAATAGTTTTTTTATAGGTTTTTCTGCATTTCAATGGTCCGCAACTGCTTTGTTTACTTCCAGAACAAAGTGACATCACTATGTAACATTCGCACTTCTATTGGCTAGCGCTCCAACACATTGTACGTGATAGGCTAAGGGACGGAACATCTCTAAGCGGTTGACTAATCACAACAGAGCCGGCCAGCACACCAATCAGAGCAGACTGGGCTCTGGTTTCAGACAGAGGGTGAAAAGAGGTGCTGCAGCACAGGCAGTATGAGAACAATAAAGAGCTCTTTGAACATTAAAGCATGGAGACAAGTCACACTGGCATATATGAACCTGAAAATGAGCATAGGGCCTTTTAACGACATAATGCCTGCTTTCTCAGGTCACAAACTTCTCCTCTGTGCCTTTGAAAACAACTCTCTAACATTAGCACACCAAAACATTTAAAACTACTTTTGGTATGCTACAATGCTAGAAACCGACTCGCACTAACATGTGTGTTTTCTATCTTAAGCTCCTCTGCTGAAAATCTACAGTGCATTTCCTCACACACTTTTTTCTTCACTCCAATTATCACGCTTTCCTCCTGACTCTCACACCCCTCCTCTCATCTTCTCCCTCCCGCTGTTCTTCAGTTGTCCTCGTTTCACATTTGTCTGTGGCGTCCGCAATGTTCTCACACTCTGCCTCGCTTTCTTTCTCGTGTGTTGGCCACACACACACACGGCACACATGTCCCTCTCAATTATCTAACCACGAGGGCAGGGAGAGAAAAGAGTGGAAGTGTTGAAGTTGGAAAGAAATCTAAGCGAAACAGTTCAGAAGGGTTGGAGAAACAAGTATATGCTGCTGCGTCAAATCAGTGCATTGCAGGTGCACACGTTCGTATCTGTACATGCACACAAACTGTGGAGGCATTGCCGCGATGCAGGAAAATGTGTGTATCAATGATGCAGGTTTAATCTCTTCCATATGGGGATCAGGGGCTAATGCATCTGCTAAAGCTATTAGCCGCTATGAACCCTGTGGATACACTATTATCAGTTTGGCAGTGACAGAAAATACCACCAGAGCCAATAAACAAACAACAACAAACAAGCGCTATCACTAGCAATAGCATTACAACCCCACATCTGTTACATTTGCGTAATTAAGCCAACAGGGTCAACTTGATGGACAGAAAAACGAGGTGAGGGAAATATAGCCCACTGCTACAGAAACAGTTGACCCAATTTAAAACCAAATCCATCCTAGTGCGCAACACAGAAATGCAGAACAACGCATTAGTGTGTGTGTGCATAAACTACATCAAAACAAAAACACACAGCACTGGACTCACCTGAGTTCAATGGCGTCCCCCATCTCGCCACAATAACTCATGCCACACAGGACCGAGAGCAGATGCAGAGAGGCGTAAAGAAGACAGAGGAAGATGAAGAGGAGGAGGAGAGTGTGTGCTCAGAGAGGAGAGGCAGCGCAGAAACAGAACCACACCTCTTCTTAAGGGATTAACTTGGAAAAAGAAGCCCTTACACACTCTCGCAAAGACCTACAGTAAACACAGTCAAACTGCCCGGCATGCAGTCTGGTAAACACACAAACACAAACTACTACACACACACACACGCACGATAACAGCTGTTCTAAAAATAAAGACAAATCAATGTTTGATGCAGCAAATCCTGGGAGTGAGGGAAGAATGGAGTGGGAGGATAGAAAGAGAGAGAGGACTGAGAGGGAGGGAGGGATGGCTGCTGGTGACACAGTTTCTCTCTCCATCTGTTGTGGCCGCACTGGGCCGGAGTGACCGGGGGAGAGGGCGAGAAAAGGGGCTGCAGCAGGGGGATGGGAGCTGGATCTGGAGGCAGAGGAGCCAGGGGGGAGGAGGGGTCTATGAGGGGAGCAGCCAGTATTAAACTTGTGTTTCTTTATTTTCTATTACGCCTCTTGTAGCACTTTGGGATTACTTTTAGCAATGAAAGGTGCTTTACAAATACAATTTAATATTATTATTATATTCAGTGGGGGAGTGTAACATTTACTAATTTATTTACGTATTTATTGTAAAATTACGAGTATTCTTTAAGCCACTTTATACTTCATCCATGATATAAAACAAAGGGATACTTTTTACTTGATTATTTTACATTTGTAGTTACTTTATAAGTTAGTATTTATATAAAACACAAGAGTTTATAAAATATACTTCTAAAAGTATTTTTAAAGTGTTTTTTAAAAACACAATTTTTACCTCAATTCAAGGGAAATATTGTACAATGACTTTAGTGTATTTATTTTACATTTGTAATTTAAATTGTTGCATAAGAACACAGAAGTTTATAAAAATATTATATTTAGTTATAACAGTTTAAACAAGAACGGCTACAGTTAAATTATCAATTATAAAACGGACAAGTCAAATCAAGCAATCTGATTGGTTCTGCGCCGTGATATAATGAGCGTATATCACGGGTAGAATTGTAGTTACTTTTCACAACAAGTCAGTATCCCTCCGCGTCTGAGAAAAGTTACAACCGTTACAACTGTTACATTACGTCCGTTACGAAACTAACTAACTAACAAAGCTTAAGATGGAAAGATTTAAGGGATAATGTGCAACAAGGACTTATTGACTGTTGTTAAGGACGCTCACATCTGCAGAAAGAAGTCCGGTCGATTTAACTGTATACAGTTGAGCTTCGCGCCGGGCCGAACCACGCCCCTTAGCTGTGATATAATGAGCATATACCACGGCCTGTCGTGAGCTATTGCTTAAATCAGTGGTTCCCAAACTTGTTGTGCCCAAGGCACACCAAAGAAGTAAAGATCTCAAGGCACACCTATTGTGCAAAATAGGCCTCATAACACGTGTTATCACTCATATCATGTAAAATATCTGTAAATGTGCATAATTATTTACTAATGCCAAATAAAATGTGACAAAGACAACTATATTACTCATGAAATATTTATTAACGAAATATTTCAGAAATTAATTTGAAACTTTATCAAATTAGGCTTCATCAAAGCAGCAACACACTCATTTAAACCAGACAGGTCACAACATTAAAAATGAGGCAAAGGAAACTCAGCAGAAATTCAGCACAGAGAACTGTCAATGCAAGGAAGCTGCATTGTCCATGGTCCTGAACTACAAATTATAAATGTAACATTTCAGCAATCAGCATTGAAACATGTGCTATTGTAAATATTTTGCCGACTTACAAATTAGTGAGATGCATGTGCCTGTCGGGGCGCGCAGAATGTTTTAATCCTTGGTGGCACTGAGGAGAGGGCCACTCGCAAGTCCTGTTCAACAGAGAGCCGTGACCTCCTGTTGTTCTTCATGTAAATCATAGTAGAGAACGCCAACTCCAGAGATGGGGTCGTTACTAAAAAAAAGTAATGTATTACATATTACTTTAAATTAAAAAAAAGTAATATATTACACTACTTTGTTACTATCTACATAAAGTAACTCGTTACTTTACTCGCCGAGCACGTACGAACTGCGCATGCGTGAGTGGCAATAACTTTCCTTACCAGCAGGCGGCGGTAGTGTGTATTTGTCATTCAAAACAGGCAACAACCGGAAAACAGAGAAGAAGAACAGACTACGTGATATAAACAAACAACAAATAGCGTGTGCGGTAGCTTCACCTTAGCATGTGTTCTTTGCAGGTGTTTGTTGAGGTTTGACCACGTGGTGTTTACAGCAGTGGATAACAGCTTCTGGCCTGGACACAGTTTGCACCTCACCGTCACATTCCTGTCTATTCTTCGGACGAACTCAAAATAATGCGCATCCCTCCACCCCTCGAAAGTTATCGCTGACTCAGCCATGTTTATGCAGCACTGCACGTGGAGATGTGGACGTACAAGTCGCGCAGATTACGTACATATAAACCTACAAAGTACTGATATAGTACATTAAAAAATAATTATTTTTGTGTAGTTGTATATTGCAATAATAACGTATGGTTGTCACAAAATCCCACGGCACACCCGGACTTGTGCCGCGGCACACCGTTTGGGAACCACTGGCTTAAATAACCAATTGAGATATTTTAAACTGGCATCCACAAACATTTGGGTAATTTTCCAACTTTTTAAGATATTTCTAATACATGAATTCTACTTAAAAAGTAGTTTCACAGAGTGGTATTTGTACTTTTATTTAAGTCAAGGCAGTGGTGGAATGTAACTTAGTACAAAGTAATTTTAAAGTGTTGTATTACTACTTGTAGGATCTTAAAACTTCTTCCACCACTGTTAGTATGTTTCCACAGTGGCGTTTTGCTGCTTCCCACTGTATGGATACTAAAGGCAGAAATGCAGCATTCCCAAAAGATGAGAAGTGTTTTGGACTGAAACTTCAAACCACACCCTGTGAGCACCTGCTCGTGAGAATGATCCATGTTTGGACTATCTACTGCTTTCTGTTCCAGGTTTCAAAGCTGGAAAACATTTACAAAGCCGGGGAAACATACTCAACATTTCAGAGAGTCTGAAAACATTGAGGTGCAGTGTTCAGATTGGCTGAACTGTGTTTATTCCAGTAAACCCAGTTAAAGCTTAAACAGGTGTGTGGGTCATGCTGCAAAGCCCAGATTGACATAAGGCGCGTTCACACCGGAGTACTTTTCCCGTTTAGTTCCGATAGTTCCTGGGATTTTGCGTTCACACCGCTGCACCCTCGCTGCGAAGGGGACCCAAGTTCCCATCAGCAAAAACACGTGGGTTTGCTATCCTGGCTCCAAAATGGTGGAATGAGCTCCCCATTGACATCAGGACAGCAGAAAGCTTACACACCTTCCGGCGCAGACTGAAAACTCATCTCTTTCAACTCCACTTCGAGCGATAGAACTATTAACAAAGCACTTATATACTAATAAAGGACTGGCTTATCTAAAGCCAGTTGAGTAGCACTTGAAATGTTTTTGCTCTATGAAACCTGATGTACTTATATGATTCTGTTTTCTTCAAGTTTGTATTTTGTTGGTCGAATGCACTTATTGTAAGTCGCTTTGGATAAAAGCGTCAGCTAAATGCAATGTAATGTAAGGTAATGTAAAAAGAGAACTAGTTCAGAGAACTTTTCTCCCCTTTTCAGTCCCTGCTAGAGAGGTGGGACTATCCTGGGGAGAAAAAAGTTCAAATTTCTGATTGGCTGGGCGAATTGCAAACCACGCCCCGTAAAACTCTGAAAAGTTTTGTGAAGCCGCTGTCAGTACCAGATATGTTCGGGCTACCAGATATGTTCGGGTGTATTTCCGTCGCATCCGTCATCCGTCATATCCGTCATATACTCACCTCCCTCTGCTCCCAGCGCTCTGCTGCCACATACCGGCCGTCTGCGGAACTGCAGCCGGAGGAACTCGGGACAGCTTGTTATGTGTGGGGTGCTATGGTGGGGTCCCATGTACTTGTGCACATAAATAATGTTTCTAATTATTTACAATTAAAAAATATATATATTCTGCGTTACTTTAGCCAACACTTTTATAAGGCCACTAGATTAGATAATTACGAAATGTGTAGATAGAATACATATATTTCAGGTTGTTATTTTGTCATTATGTTTAATGTTTTATTTACCTTTTAGTATTTGTATATAGCTAGTATCTGAACTTTGGAGAGGAGTTGGGAGACACACGACACATCAAATCACATCTACAGATCAAGGCGAAGCGAATGGAAGTAGGCTACTCCCATACTCCTAGCGTGAAAATGTTTGTGAAAACGTGTGCAAAGTCTCCGAAAATCCTAAAAATAAGCTCCTATTTGAATTCCCCATAAAAAAAACACATCATTCAGTAAAAACAAGGCCCCACTGATCATCTACTCTCTGAGACGATTCCAGGGATGTCTGGCTTGAGTTTCGACCACCAGGGAAAGTGGACAAAAGTGCCCGAGATCAGCCTCTTAATTTACCCAGGGCCTAGTGCTTGGCTTTGGGCATGAAAAGACAGGAAACTCCCCTGAGTATTTTATTAAATATCTGAACTTTGGAGAGGAGTTGGGGGACACACGACACATCAAATCACATCTACAGATCAAGACGAAGCTAGTGGAAGTACTCCTAGCGTGTGAAAATGTTTGTGAAAAACGTGTGCAAAGTCTCCGAAAACGGAGCAGTGGCTGTGATGCTAGCTTTGCGGCTAGCGGTTAGTTGTTATTGTTTGAAGTTGTTGCTATGGAAACAACATGACAGAGAAACAATTAATATCTTCTACATATAATAACGGACAAAGTAAAGAATGAAGTGTAGGCTATGCCTGTTTGAAGTTGTTGCTAAGGAAACAATATGACGGAGAACAAGTATAATCTTCTACATATAATAACGGACAAAGTAAAGAATGAAGTGTCGGCTATGTTTAAATGTTCGGAATTTGACCGTGATGGCCCTCTTGAGTTGCCGTAAAATATGACGAATATGACGGATGACGGATGCGACGGAAATACACCCGAATATATCTGGTAGCCCGAACATATCTGGTACTGACACCGCCATTGTATTTGCTGGCATTAGCATTATTAGCATTAGCATTATCTCCGTGCACCAACGGAGAGAGAATAACTTATGGCAACACAAAAAAAACATGGGAGCGGTGGAGATGAGGAGGTGTCGGCGTTCTGGCGGGGACGTCCGGCTGGGGACTTCGGGCGGCAGTATACGCCGTGAAGTG